ATTTAATTGACATTTATATATTTTGGATAGTCATAATGCCTTGCTAGAGGCCGCTTATGATTTGTGAGGCTTGAATTAATTTTTTAACCCACTGCCAATTATATATAAACCTACAGGGTCACACACCTAAGTGATTTGGATCATTAATGTTCGTTAATAACATTAAAATAGCCTGATTAGCCCAATTCGAAATAGGGTTTCGAATGGTATTGGGCTAGGGCCTCTTGGAGGGTTTTATTAGCTACAAAACTCCTTCTTTCCTCCTCTTATAAATAGGGCTATATAAACCCACGAATTTTAAGAGTTAAAATTCACTTCTAAAACCTAGAGTAGAGAGGAAGAAAGAAGAGAACGTTAGCACGTTCCCTGCGGCCGATCCAATCACGTGCGTGTGGATACCGGTAGAGCTCGGGATCGTTTTCTCGGACTGTCTGACATCCTTGATTAAGATTGCTATGTAAGTCCCTCTTATATCTTGTAATTTCGTTTATAGTAAGAACCTCAGATCCGGTTATTTACTTTTGGGCAGTATTTTTTTTTGTTTATTCCGCTGCGTTTTTCTGCCCGAAACCCAACAATCGTTTCTAAGTCTAATCGTAGGGTTGATAGTGCTAGTTGGTTACAAATTGTTGTTATCAATGTTGGTCTCTTAGAGTTTGTTATAACGATCTGAATCCTAAAGATATTAATATAAGCGGTTTTTCATTTCAAAAAAATGTATGAGGATCTAATCTTCATTAATGTCCTAGTTATTTTGAGAATAAAAACCGGATAGCGTATTTTTCTTCGTATGGACAAAAGTTGCTGTTGTACCAGGTAAACAATTATTCCGTACATATGTATTTGATTGAAATATTTTTAAATTCTTATTTTATACACAAATTTTTGTAATAATATATGTAAAACTCTCTTTTATTCTTTAAAAAATATACTAGATTTATTTATATTGATTGGTTTTGGCGATTTAATGATTTTTTAATTGGATAAAAATGGACTTTTTATACTTCAATTACTCCGTATTATAATTGTAATTTCAGAGATTATGATATCGTTCAAATTTCAATAATAGTGACCATGGTGACATAGTAACTTTGGCCACACTTTCATTTTTATGTTTTATTTCAATAGTATTTAAAGAAAATCATCTTAAATGAAACTTGAAATATCCCACGATGGTAAATCCCGAAATATGAGTAAAAAATTTTAAAATTCTAAAATAGGTGTAATATGTTTTTTTGGATTTTTTCCTAAATTTTTACTAAAATATAAGTGTAGACAAAATATGACTGAAGTTATCATGAGTATATAACTAACTCGATAGTCAGTAAAGTGTAAAACAGAACATGATTACAGTTATTAGAAGTCACTAATATAATCACTTTGTATAAAAAGGACATGATTTTGTCCATCGTCTTTATTTTAGACATATATTTAACTGTTTATGTATTTGGAGTAATTTACGTTCACTTTGAAATTTTACAACCATATTATGGCATCATCAAGTTTGAATATTGCGTAATTACCGACATAATGGGTAATATATTCAAAATGTTGCATTAATTACTCACATTAAGGGAATAAAAAAATAATAATGCTCATAATTTGGAATTCCACATCAATTTTACTTCTTTTTAGAGATGCTTGATGATATACATCCACATACAAAATTGATTTACAAAGTTTAATTTTTTTTTACGAGTATTAGCCCTGAGTAGGAGTACAATCCTTTTATTCCCAAAAAAGGACTAATATATGTCTCTTCTTCCCATTCTACCCTCTTCCTATCATTTCCAATAGATTTATTTTATTAATAAGAAAATCATGGTTTTGTTTATAACAAAAATATAAAAAATAATAAAATATTTATAAAATAATAATGAAAATGTGAAAAAATAAAATAAAAATAAAAAAAATAAAAACAATAAAAAAATTATTTAAATTTTTTTAAAAAAGTCCAAAAAATAAAATAAAATACCTAAAAAATATTTAAAAAATATGTAGGTCATTGCCAACGCGTCCTCTACCTCCCAGCACCACCGACTCCGGTCATCGGAAAAAATGTCATCTTGTGTAAAAAATGCTACATTTCTCTGAAAATGCCATAAAGATGACATTTTTACTATTTGAAAATATCCAGCTTTCTCTTGCTTTCTCTTCAAAATTGCCATCATGATGACATTTTTTCCCCAACTTGGAAATCTTTTCCGGCGATGGGAGGTGGCGGTGCTGGAAGGTGGCTGAGGTGGTGGTTGGGGTCTATACTTTTTTTAATTATTTTTTACGATTTTTTTTTTTGATTTTTTTATATTTTATAATGATTGTTTAAAAATACTATTATCAAGGACAAAGGAAAGGGTAGAATAGGAAGAGTTAGTCATATTTTGGGAATTTAAACTTTAAACTCCTATTGTTGCAATTCAATTATCCTTTTATTCACTCCTATTTAGGTAAATCTCCCTTTTTTCATACACGTTGTCTGATTTTATTCACTTATTTAATTATTATATTCTCATTTGAATCTTGCACATTTATATAATTTTTAAAGTAGTACATGAACATCTGAATTTGAATTATTAAAACTGATTTAATTAAGAGATTTTTCTTAAATATTACTAAAATAAAAATTGCGGATAGAAGTGTGACTAGCATGGTCCAGAGTACATCTTTATTTTATAGCCATTTTTATATAAAATTTAAACATAACTATAATCATTAAAAGTTATTAACTCACCTTTTTAGCCACGTGAGTGATCATATAAATTAGTTATTATTTCTTTTAGATATCGATAGAAAGAATTTAACTGTATCATTAGTAAATTTAACTGTAATACATAGATCAATTGTCAAATGGTCAGCTACGCTCACAAGTCAATCATCATTTTCCGCTGTGCCACCGACAAGGTCTCCTCAAACACATTCACTTCGAATAGTCAAAAAAACTACATTGTGGAGGAGATAAAGGTCACTTACTCGAATTCTGAAGATGATTTTCATGTGCGTCTGCATTTCTTCAAGAACATTTATTCTAGAGGCGCCACCGGATTTCATTCAAGCTGATCAAGAGCTACTTCTAAAGGCAAGGTTTACAAGCAAGTCAAAGGAAGATTCCTCAACCCCCAACATCAAAGCTCAAATTGCCAAGAAGACATCAAATGGAAGATTGCAAGGATTTCTTTAGAAAGTCTTCTCAAGAAGTCAAGTTCGAAGACAAAGGAAGCTCAATAACAACAAAGACAAAGATATCTGCGTTGCAATGCTGATTCAACACGATTGAACACTAAGAGGGAGATTGTTAAGAATATTTTATGGTGTCCAATCTAATTAAATATCTTTGTATTAGTGTAGTTACCATTTAAATGTGTAATATGGGACACAAATGTATATAAGCCCATTAACTCCTACAAATGTATATATAGCCAACTTCTCCTATAAAATGAACAGAGGCTAAGAGCATAGAGGCGAGATAGAGTAGGATTTGCCGCTCTCTCTCTCTCTCTCTCTCTCTCTCTCTCTCTCTCTCTCTCTCTCTCTCTCGAGGGAGGGCAGCGGTCATGTTCATGGTATACCAGATTTGGGTTTCATCTCAATATCTTTCTGTCTGCTTCTTCTTCACTGCTATGATCATTTGATTGTTAAAGAATAGGGACTAACGAGATTAATAATGTGTTTATTTGGATTGATTGATCTGATATTTATTTAAATATGATCTGATTTGATCTGTTTGAGTGTGATCAAAGGTTAATTATTAAAATAGGACTAAAAGTCACTCACTTTGCACAAATAGGACAAAAAATAAACTATGTTTTCATAGGACTAATTATGTGTGTCTTGGACAAATATATCCTTATAGCTATTGAAATGTTTTAATTCATAATAAAATAATAAAAAATAATAAAAAATTGTAAAAATACTAAAAAAGTAATAAAAATATTTCAATAATAATAATTTATTTATTTATTTAGTTTCAAAAAATAAAAAAATAAAAAAATAAAAAACTCAAAAAAATAAAATAAAATTCAACGTCGCCTTTGCCGCCTCTGCACCACCACCTCCAGTCAACAGGGGGAAATGCCAAGTTCATTACGAATGCCATATTTATGGCAGAAACAATGAAAATGTTGGCATTCCCAAAGAGAAATATGCCATGTTTTTGGCATTTTCAGAAAAAATGACAGTTTTTAGGAAAAATGGCATTGTTTTCACCGGACGGAAATGGTGGTACAGGGAGGTAGTACAGGCGGTGGGAAAGGCACCCATATTTGTTTTTTAATTTTTTTATGGAGTTTTACTATTTTTATTAATTTTTTATAAAAATTAAAAATTAAAAAAAAATACTTTTTAACTTTTTATTTTATAAATATTTTAATTATTTTTCTACGAATTTTTGAATTTTTTTCGAATTTATTATGAATTAAAAATTTAATTAACTCATATTTAAATGAAGGGTAAGAATGGAATAAAAAATAGTTATGTTTACAATAGGACTAATATGGTCTTATTTTGAAAAGAAAAACATAGTAAATTATATTTTGTGTTTTTATCATAGTTTTAGATTTATTTGAAGTAATTTCTATATGATCAAATTTGAAATGATCTGATCTAATCTGGAATTTAAACGAGTGCAATTAAAAACTTATTACGGCATCATCTTACTTTTGTGGGGGATGCCGTGACGGCATCGTATGAAACCACCTCAACAAAGCCACGTGATCATTATCAAACACATTCATTCATGTTCAAATTGAGATTTGGAAAAAGTAACTATTTAAAAGAAGAATTTATAAGTGAGAAGGAAAGCATATGATTAAGACAGTTTTTTGTGTTGAGGGAACGATTAAGACATCATTAGTTTAAACTTCACTTGGTGAAAATCTGTTTTGTCCACGGTGAACAGAAACATGCTATACAATTAGAGCTTCATCCCCAATTAATTAATCATAATACAAAAACATTGCTGATTTTGTGGTATAAAGAGTCTTTTAACGGAACGTATATGGATGTAATAGTATTCTTTTCCTTATTTATTCATTTATCATCCGGAAATCCACTCCATTATCGCAGTCGCTCTACGTGCCAGTCACATCATCTGGGAAGAGGAGGAGGAGGACAAGAGAAGCATTCTGCGGACCCGATTCGCCGATTAACCGGCGGCATTTCCACCGGAGGTCTGGTTATCGCTTCACCTCCTTTGGCTCAGGTGCCACACTGACACTCATTTTTTCCGTCCCTAGAGCTCTCCGCCGCCTCTTCATAAAATCGTAGAAATCAGGCTGCGTTCACGGCGCCGAGCGTACGGGCGCGACATTGCCGGCGCTTCTCGCTGCTTCTAGCAGTTTTTTTTGGCGGCTGTGCTTTGTTGTTTCAGTCTCTTTCGATCTCGCTTTTCGAAGGTAGATCGATCTATCGAATCTGTTAGGCTATATTTCCCTGCCTTTTGCTCGAATTTGCAGTTTACTTGTTTTGCTTGACTTCGGTTTTTGTGTGTGAGTGTGTGAGAAAGTAATTATTAATAAGACGATTCAAATTTCTGCTACTGTTTCAATAGTTTACTGTTCATTCTCGAAGTACTTTTTGCTTAAACAAAAGATAGGAGTTTCGGCTTGAGACGATTTGGGCGACTGCGTACCTTTACACCTTTATGAAAAAGTTTATGATTATTTCCCTCTCCTTGTTGGATATTGGGACGCTTTTCAGGTTTTGTTTTGAGCCAATGGCCATTGATGTGAAGTTTCGAGAATACATTAGTGTCTTGTATGTTTAACCACTGCATAAATAAAGGTATCAACTTTGTAGAGTGGAAATATTCGAACAATCTTTCACGATTTTTCTTCTATTATTTCATCATCTCCCTTATGACTATTTATATTTCACCCCCTCCAAAACGTAATCCATGTTAAATAGAGTTGTTATTTAATCCATTAAGATTAAATAACAATGGGTTAAGATTGCCCCTTTTTCTGATCCATTAAGATTGATAATCCAAAACAATGGGTTATTTGCAAATCTATGTTATTTAGAGTGGTTCTACCTGAAGAATCACAGATCTCAACTTGCAAGCCCACCTCACTTATTATGCACTGTCATATAATTCTCCTGTTCAAGGATCATAATGTGGTGATGCATTTTATTCTATTTGAATTCATTCCCAGGTATCGGTATGAATCAAATTCAGAAGGGCAAAACTCAAATTTCTGAGGAACATTTTCCAGGATGTTTGGGAAGAGTGGTCAACCTCTTTGACTTGAATATCGGGATTGCAGGAAACAAGATGCTCATGGATAAGCAGCATCAAGATGGTAAATGGGCGTTCTTTAGAACTGTATATTATCTATCGAAGTCTTTGTTCTTCAGCATGGCATTAAAAGAGCATGATGTCATGTTTCTTGTTATTATTTTTGTCAACATAGTCTAATAATCCCCGTAGGTTACCTTGTTCCATGACTGAAATGAAAGTAATGATCTCTCTGACTATTTTAGTACATAGTAAATTACAACAGTTTTTTTGATGCCTCTATTCCTTGGTTTGTTTACATCATGTATTGCATAAATGATTTTACAGGATTTCCTACCAGCGGCAAATCTCACATGGCTCGCCCGTCTCCATATAAGGAACAAATTGAAGATAAAGAGGTAAATTTTTCAGTGTATTTGTCTGATGAACAAAGTAACCATTTTTTTTTGAAAAATTAGCTATGTTACTGATGTATGTACTTGTTTGTGTTTCAATGGTGCATGCAGATTGTGCCAAAATCAAGTGCAACTATTTCAAACAGGAAATCGAATGGAACACCAATGAAGATGCTGATTGCCCAAGAGATGTCCAAAGAAATCAACAATAAGCCTAATCCTCCAAGTGTCGTAGCCAGGCTAATGGGGCTTGACACTCTTCCGTCTCAACAACCTGGCTCTTCTAAACAAAGAGATTATGCTTGTGGCAGTGCTCGAGTTCATGCTGACCCACACTTGAGTTGCTGCAATGATAACAAAAGTGGAACATTAGATGCAGAGCAAGATCAATGCAAAGATATTTTTGAAGTATCGCTGCATCCGAAGTGCTCTCTGAGAAATAAATTATCAGAAAGTGGAAGGTGTGATGAAAAGGATAAAAGGATAGCCTATGTACGCCAGAAGTTCATTGAGGCCAAAACCCTGTCTATAGATGAAAAATGTCGCCAGACTAATCAATTCCAAGATGCATTAGAAGTTCTGAGCTCCAATACTGATTTGTTCCTCAAGTTTTTGCAAGAACCAAATCCTATGTTTTCTCAGCAGATATCCAATCTGCAATCTAGTCTCCCCCCTACCGATATAAAACGGATAACTGTCCTTAGACCTTCTAAGATGGTAGATAACTGTGTATTTTCTGGCAAGGTGATGACTGAAAAACACAAAAACAGTGCCAACCAGCTAGTCAGCCAATTGAACAAAAGGGATGAAAGTGGCCTAGATCGTTCTGTTTCTACAACTAGTTGCAATGTTGATGGAAATGCCACCCAACCAACTCGAATAGTAGTACTTAAACCTAGCACTGGCAAGTCTCACAACCACAAGGTTGGGAGGTCCCCACCTTGCATACCTGCAGCACGGTTGCATCATGAAAATGTGTTGGAAGACAATGAAGACAAAGATGCTCAAGCATCAAGAGAACTGGCAGCTGAAATTACGCTGCAGATGCATAAAAACTTGGTCGGGCATCCAAGAGATGAGGCAATGCTTTCTTCTATGTTCCCTGATGGTTATATTAGTGACGGCAGTTCTTTCAACAAGTCCGAAAATGAGTATGCCATGGGCAACCTGAGTGATTCAGAAGTCATGTCTCCTGCTTCTAGACACTCATGGGATTTCATTAATAGGATTAAAAGTCTTCATTCTTTCTCCTCTTTAACTCCTGCATCGTATTCTCCAGAATCTTTAGTTTCTAGAGAAGCAAAAAAACGACTTTCTGAAAGATGGGCCATGGTTGCATCGAATGGGGTTTGCCAAGAACAAAGGCCTCTCTGGAAAAGCTCCAGTACTTTAGGTGAGATGCTTTCTCTATCTGACGCAAACAAGTCAGGAAAACTTGAAGGAGCAGGAGATAAAGAGGCAAGGGAGTTGAATTCCAACCAAGTCAGCGATACAAATATGATGGAAGGCAGGGAGAATTACCCAAGGAATAATCTCTTGAGGTCAAATTCTGTCCCAGGGCCTTCTATCACATTTTCGTCCCAATTGAAAGTAGATTGCTCAGAATCAGAGGCAGTAAAAGCAGAACATGGAGAAGAGACAATAAATGAAAGAAGCATAAAATCCTCACTCAAATGGAAAGTTTCAGGTTTGTTCTCCAGGAACAAGAAACCTATGAAGCAAAAGCTTGGCACCTCAAAATCTGGTGATGAACCTCATTTTGGTGAAAAACGTTTTGATTCTCCTGGAGTAGTAGGTAATAACGTGAGTCAATGTCTCAACAGCATCGGGCATGAAGGCTTGGCTCCTTATGTGCATGGCTCATCAGGCAAAACAACTTCTACAGGCTTGACTGAAAAGCAAGGCATCCGTTCCTCTGAGGTAATTGGTTACAAGTATAAGTAAGCATATTTTCAATGTTCATTTTAATGTACTTTTCCCAGATATAGCTGTGATTTTATGTTGTGAAGCAGAAAATTTTGCCAAAGTTCTACAGTATTTTACAACATTTTTGTCTTCACATTTGGTAGACTAATTAATGTCAAACATAGAAGGTTGAAATGGATTCATGCTGGACATATTATGTAGGTTGAACCTGGACCATCTGTCAAAAGGGATAGGCGTTGTGGAATTCATTCCGACAACCAAGATCAACCAAGTCCTATTTCAGTTCTGGAGACGTCATTTGAGGAGGATGAATATTTAACCCTAAACAATATCAAATCATCTGGTCATGGTAAACATCTATTATCATTCACACAAAAAATTCTTTCTTGGCTTTATTTTATCTGACTGTTTTCCAAAACCAAACAGGGGAGTTGCCTGTCCACTCAGTCAGGTCCAATTTAATCGATAAATCCCCACCTATTGGTTCAATTGCTCGCACCCTATCATGGGATGATTCTTGGTTGTTGGATACTGCCACGTCTTTATCACTAAAGCTGTCCTCTACTCAAAGGACTGAAGAAGAACACGAATGGTTCTTCTATGTTCAGAAAATATTATCAGAGGCCGGCCTAGATGAAGTGCGATATGATTCATTCTTGTCCCATGGGCATTCACCAGAAAGCCCGTTGGACCCATCACTTAGAGACAAGTATATTGATTCACATGAGGAGGAGTCACTACATGAGTCTTGGAAAAGGAAAAGGAGATCATCCAGGAAGCTTGTCTTTGATTGTGTTAATGCTGTATTGATGGACATTTCTTCCCAAAACATATTTCCTTGTAATAGTGTAATGTTGGTGGACTATGTGTGGGAGCAAATGAGGGAATGGTTTTCTTGGAATATGGTGTCTCTCTCTAGTTATGGTGCGGAAGGGAACAGCCCTGTGGTGCAAAAGATGGTAGCGATGGAGATGGAGGGCAAGGGATGGATTCAAAGTTGGAAGAAATTAGAATGGGAAAGTATTGGAAAGGAAATTGAGGGGAAATTGTTAGAAGAGATAGTGCGCGAAGCAGTTGTTGAAATGATGAACTAGAATGTGATGGTTCTCTTTTACTCCGCTGGTCTCTGTATCATCAGTATTTCAGTTTTTAAGTCCATGACGGTATTATAATTGTAAATTGCAATGTTTCATAATAATAATTGATTGTTTCGCTAACTGCTAACCTGTAATCGCTATTTGCTTATGGTCGAAAACTGTATTCCTTTTCTTTCAGTCTGAATTTTGTTCTTGCTTCTACGAGTTGAGTTTCCTATACCTTTTGTTATGGGGATGGTTTGGAATTTCTGCATTGCAGGGTTTGTTCCATGTAAAAGGATCCATTTATAAAACCAACAGCCGAACATTACTAATCGAAAATAATCATTGGATGCAAATATGCAATCCATGAATATCTTCTTTAGCGTGAGGAAAGTCAAGTGGGTGAATGGAGGGGGGGCCGTCCATTTTTGTATTTATAGTTTTTGCAAGGTGCCAGAGTGTAACCATGTAGAGTTGTAAATGATAAGAATAATTTGGACCTTAATCGTCGCATAGCTCATTATTACACTAGACCGCGACACAAAACTGTATAATCTCTCAAGGGTATATTAGTTTACTAACTTTGCAATAATGTGAACTTGTAATAGAAATTGAATATTGCTACTCAACTAAAAAATACTCCAAAAAGGAAATTGATGGAAGAAAAAATGCAACTCGGTTTGATTAGCCACTAAAAAGGTTCGATTTTGGCAGCTACTATTTAAGAAACATTAATAACTTTGGAAAGAATGTCAAAATAAGGTAATATTTGAAAACTAAATTTGTTCACCCTTTCAAAAGAGGGTGACTATTCACCCATCCTAATTGCTTGCCATGTGGCAAGATAATTCTTTATTATTATTTGGTAATTGTTTTAACTTCTTTAATTTTAATCCAATTTTTTTTAAAAAAAAATATCATTTTTTTGCGATTTATCATATGGTATCAATATTTCATGTGAAGCATTTTAAAACAAATCCAGCTAAAAATGAATATTTTGAAAAAATTATTTCAATTTTTTTTATAAACAATACTGATACCATTGGAAAGATCTTAAGAATTATTAAATCTGATATATATTTGATGGATTATAGGGAATGGATTATAGGGATCCAAACTATCACAAAATGGAGAGATTTGAGCTTAATAATGTGGAGAAGAAGATGAATAGTAGTGATGTGTATTAGAGTTGTGTTGAGTTATAAGCTCCAAAAGGAGTATAAATAGAGAAATAATGGGCTGGGCCGCTAATATGGGCCCGATAGGCCCAACTACATAAAAGACTAATCTAGTACATACAGACGATATATGAACAATACAATAAAACAAAAGACATCCGATAAGCGTGTGTGGGCCGTTGTCCAAGCCCAATAGTCGTGAGACCCGGGGGTCCGAGTCTATATACTCCATCAGGAGTCCCCCACTCCCTGAGTCGAGAGTACTCGAGGGAAAGGGAGTAGAACTGTGCGCTGATCTATCATTGTCCGGTGAGTAAACTTCGTGAAAAAAATTGAATTTTTGCTTCTTTGGTTAACGGAGGCGCTAAGTCCCCCGCTCCTCCAGTCCCCCACTCCTTGAGGTGAATGTAGTTAGGTGAAGAGGAGTAGAATGGTGCATGTCTTGTGATGTCTTCAATAGGGGGCCGAGGGTCGACACCTTTTGTCCACGTTGGGAAGATGCCTCGTTAAAAACCTCATTAGGAAAAAAACCAGTGGGAAAAAATCCTAATGAGGGAAAAAGAGTACACCGGATGCCCCCAAAATGAAGCAAAAGAGGTGAGCCCTTCGACCTAGGTGTGGAGCTGCAACGGTGTCCGTCTCCTGAGGGGATGACCGAGACCAGTCTCTAGATGTGAGTAGCTCGGCATGATAAGTAGTCCTAGTCATCAAATAAAGATGACTAAGAGATAGATCGAGTGACCGTCCATAATATGATGTCTGGGTCATCAAATAAAGTGACCGAGACGTGTGGCCGAGAGGTCTATAAGAAGTCCAAGCCATCAAATAAAGATGACCATGAGAGACGGCTAAGTGGCCGGTATGATGTCATCATATAGTTGCACGTATGCATTCAAATAAAATTGTTATAATTTCTTGAGCTTATAATTTGCTATTGGATTTGGGCCTAAATTAAGTGGCCTCAAATTTCCAAGCTAGGGCTCAAGCTAGATTTCTATGCTTAGTTGAGCGTGACACGCATAAAGGATTGAACCTACCGCCAAGAGATTGCAGTTCATTTCCGATAGCTAGAGGGCACACATAACACATACAAAACATAGAAATTAAAGTATGTATTAGATAACATTTGGATTGGGAGCTTACTATCCACACTCGTTTGACGTGACCCGGTGACGCGAGTGTGTGTGCTCGCCCGGTGTACGCGAGTGCTCGGAATTTCATAAGTCCGTTTTTTCAATGTCAAAAAATACACACTATTTAAAAAAATAATGATAATAAATTAATAATCTAGCTCAACTTGTCACTCAAGTTCGTAGCTGGGATCCGCTAGACGCTATTTACGGGTCTTTTCATGGATGACTCGCCCCTTGAGATTGAAGTTTGATGCTATATTATTAAAATATTTCATTTATGATTTTTTTTGCAATAATTTTTTATCAAATATGTTCACATATTAATGGTATGGATATAATTTAAGAATACTTAGCTTTTGGAATTGAGCTGAAATTGAGGGCTGGTTGGGCTGAAATTGAGGGTTGGTTGGTTTAGTTGGGCCTTTACTCTTTACTAGACAGATCCCAAATAGAAGACCTAATTGATAAGAAGCCGCTACTGTAGCTCATCGAGGGGAGTGCGCAGCTCCACCTTTCACGTTTGGCGAGTGCGCAGCAACCATCCCAAGTACTCAAGTAGCATGCCGCTACTGTAACTCATCTAGGGGAGCAGCCATCAGTGGCAGAGGATGGTGAAGGCGCAACTCTGTCGGACAGCACCAGCGGCAAAGCTTTCTCAGGCGGAAACTGGAACCTTCCTCAGGCGAATCCAGCGTTAGAGAAGAAACGACTCGGAGCGAGGTTGCTGGGACTTCGGCGACCGACACTAGCGACGAAGCTTCCTCGGACGTGACCGATATGCTCTTCAAGTTGAGTCATAGGAGCGCACTGCTTTATGATTTTTACCCCTGGAGCTCTCAACGGCCATTAATGGTGGACCTGTGAGGCTTACTCTTGCAACCGAAGAGCTATGGACATTACGGTGGTGCCCCCAGTTCCGACCATCGAGCTGTTGTGGCGAGATATGGAGACTGTGTAGGCGGGTTTGAGCAGGCAGCAAGCTTCAAATGATTGCGCACGGTGCGACCTGGATGGATCTGGCTCGACGGCTCCAGCTCCGGTCAGGGGAATCCACATTCCAAATTTTACATATTTCGTTCCTTTTTTTTTCTCTGTGTTTTCAGAACAGTTTTTCAGAGATTTCTTCAAAGTTGTAATGAAATTTTGGGATTCTAATGAATTTCTTGATGTTTGTGGAGAGGAATCTCACTTGATTTGGCTCAAAACTCTCAACGAGAGCATCATTGATGGATTATAGGGTATCCAAACTATAATAAAATGGAGAGATTTGAGTTTAATAATGTGGAGAAGAAGATGAATAGTAGTGATGTGTATTAGAGTTGTGTTGAGTTATAAGCTCCAAAAGGAGTATAAATAGAGAAATAATGGGCTGGACCGCTAATATGGGCTCGATAGGCTCAACTACATAAAAGACTAATCTAGTAAACACAGACGATATATGAACAATACAATAAAACAAAAGACATCCGATAAGCGTGTGTGGGCCGCTGTCCAAGCCCAATAGTCGTGAGACCCGGGGGTCCGAGTCTATATACTCCATCAATATTTTATAAAAATTGTATAATACATTAAAAAAGATATAACAATTTTAAAAAATGAAATGAATTGCCACGACAATAAGAGGGTGATGTTTATCCTTCGGGGTGAACAAAACCGCACTCTAATATTTGAGCGAGCATGTATTTCCAAAAAGTGTAAAACAATGTTATTCAACTTTTTCTCTCCTCTTGCCAAGCACCTTGTGGGTTGATGACATCATTGTGGCATCATTGCGGCACTCTGAATGACGAGGTCATAAGTTCGAAACTCATCCCAATCAAGAATGTTGACATTTAACAGAACAAATACTATAAAAATGAGAAAATGCAGTTGTTGCGATATTAGGGTCCGACCCTAGAACTGACCCAAAATATCCCTAGGAACTAGGAAGCCCATGTTTAACGGAACCCAACGGATACGGGTCATGAACGGGAATGGTCGTACGGTACATGCCGAACAGGGGTTACCGAACGGCCTAAACATATCTTTTGCTGAGGAAGAGAGTCAGTCATGAAGGATCAGCCCAAGGGAATTGGCGGGAAGCCTCAGTATTGGCGGGGAGTGCATTTAATGCAAGAAGCATTGGGGTTTCATGATGTGAAGGTCACCCACTCAGAATCAGCCACATCGCCCCCCTCCAACTGCTCATCCATAGTATAAATACCAGCATTTATGTCATTATAAAGGGTTAGAAAATTAATACTCAGAACACGTACTATATTTGATCTTAGCTCTTGTATTAGCATTCTACTTAGCAAATCTCGTTCGACCATTCTTGTGTAATCAACAGATAGACTTGCTTCAATACAATTGGTTATTTGCTCTTGCTAATTGATCTCATCGATATTAGTTTCTAGATTCCAACGATAAACAAAGGAACGTGTTGAGCCTTTGGATTTAGGGGAGTTAACCTCAACAGCATGCAACAAGAGACCCGATCCTTAACAGGAGAGTAATAGTGTTCTAAAAAGATTTCAGGAGTGTACGAAGTACACTAAACAAGAGAACATTAATTTCTCTAAAAAAGAATTCCAGGAGTGTACGTAGTACACTAAATAGACAGGAGTATAGACGTCAGAGTGCAAGACCAAGAGTAAGGCTTTTTCAGAAAATATAAACTTTGATTATTTTATCATTAATGTATGGTGTTTGAAATAAATAATTAATTCTCCCAAAAGTCATTTAGAAATATAGGGGATGGTTCAAATAAAAAGAAGTCTTAACGTGCAAAGTGCAAAGTTTGCACTTTTTCATGTTTCGCTTGCATTTTTTCTTGCTTTCGTTGCACTTTTTCGCGGTAGCTCAAAAAAATTGGTTCATTTACAAAACTGCCACCATCATTTTGGCCGAATTTGACCAAAATCAAAATGGCCAAAAAATGCAAT